GTAGGCTAATTAGTTCCCATTAATGTAATAAAAGCAGTCAACATTTTCTCTTGAAGACTGTCATCCCACAGTTGAAAAAAGAGTCCAACGGGGGCACCGGTTCATCTCGCTAGGTTGAGCATATGCTATGGCTAATTTTGGAATCCATCCGAAGGATGTGTTTCCATAGGTTTTCTCACAGTTTTCCTGTTTTCCCTCCACTGTCCTATCAAATAAAGATTAAAAAGAAAAAGACTGAATCATTTCAAATTAGGTATTAAAAAAATGTATTCTGGGGGTCATTTCAGACTTTAGAAACAAACAAAAGGTGTGTGTGTGTGTGTGTGTGTGTGTGTGTGTGTGTGTGTGTGTGTGTGTGTGTGTGTGTGTGTGTGTGTGTGTGTGTGTGTGTTTTAATCAGCTCGAATTAAAAATGCTGGAAACGCTGAAATGTCAAATTTTGGGTTCTACATGAGCATTTACTGCATAACGAAATCAACAGCTAGGGTTAATTAATTTTTTTAAATTATTATTCATTCACATGTTGTATAGTTCCTTTTTGACAAATACATACCTACCATATCCATTTCAACAACTCATACAGCCTTGGAGAACATTACATTATAGCTGGAAATCTGATATGCCTCCAGAAGAGAGGCTATTATGAGGAATGACAGCTCATAGGAATCCTATAAACCTGATATATTATATACACACAATAACACAATACAGTCTTTATAAATCTGTTTCCTGACGATTTTGGTGTTTTTGTGTCTTCTGGAATGCATATGCCGCAGATGTACAAACATAAATCAATGAAAATCTGTTTGGGAATTCAACTGTGGCTGTGTATACTCTGATGTTAGTGTGAAATTTGATATACACAGAGGGTTCATTCAGCCCTTTTACACAAAATAAACCTTGATCAAATACATTATTTCTTAATATAAAAGTTTACCATGATGACAGACAGTATTACAAAGATCACACCCTTTGCTAGAATTCATTCAAAAAAATCTTCCTACCATTTTTATATATATATATATATGATTGATATCTGGAGCTGTGAGGCATTTGGCATAAATCAACCCAGTGGATTTGACTTGTTGTACCTACTTTGGTAGCTCCTATGGGTTTAAAATATATCACATAGCAAAATAACACCTACCTTTTCCATCATCTTTGATTTGACTCAGTATTAGAATGTATTTAGTCTTGTCCTTGCCCATGGAGGCATTTCTCACCACTACAACAAGCCTACTACAAACACATAATGCAATAAAGACTTACAATGTATAGCAGCACCCTTAAGGCGTGCTGTGGAGTGCCTCAGGTTATGTGGAAAGAAGTGCTTAACAAATTTAGCTGAATACAACATTTTTATTTTCTGCCACAGCATTATTGTAGCAAGGACTAGTACCATTTCAATTGACTTTAATGCAGAGCAATAATGATCCTTGCTTATCTGGTTAATTTATTGTTGATAGCTCAGTCATTCACCATATGCAGCAGAATGAAAATGCAATGTCTATCGTCCTTTTAGTTGTTTCATATGTTAATACCAGCTAGATGTAAACAGAATCTCCATAATTACCCACCTTGTTTTTTGCACCATTGCATTGGTTTATGCAATTATGTGAGCTAGTTAACATTTGTTGCTTTAAAATTCGCAGCGGTGCACCAAGATAATGGGCAATGTTGCTGTTATTGACTGAAAAACATGCTGCATCAAAGAGCAAATCTTCCCCTTACAAGATGAGCTCCAAAACACAAGGGCAATCCCAGCAACATATAAAGGTGAACACAAATAGAAAAGTTCGTGTTTCTTTATTCTTCTAACCTTTATATTATTGCTGCCTTTCCCCCCACAGTATTAATACTTTACCTTGACCTTATGATGTTTGAGTGGAGTTGGGGTTCCATCTTTATTCAATTTCTCTTTGTTTAATTTCTGCAGAGGTGAGTGGTCTGCTCAGAAAAGACCAGATGATTCGATGATGCGAAGCTCGTGTTTTGTTTGAAGGTGAGAAATCTTGAAATTAATCATGAGGTGAAATATAGATTCAGTGTTTTACTCTCCCACCCTCCTACACCTCCGCATTCCCATGGAAACAGGTAGCTAAAGAAACATCTTCTTCTTAATCACCCAGAGATGACATTTTGTTAGAAAATTCCAAGTTGTGTAATTGAGATGTGAAAATAAGCTTACTCTGTTCAACCAGCCTTCTAATCTTTGCGTTGAATTTTTCTCAGGATAATTAGTACAGCTATTATCATTCATTATCAGTGACTCATCTGGTAATTAGAATCCGAAAATGCAATTTAAATAGATACTGAGCCAAGGACATTATTATTTACTCACAAAAACAGTATGTTTCTGCTAAATAGCTTGTCTAGCTTGTAGGGCTGGGCCATATTATACCGTTCACGGTAATACCGGTATAATGTTAGGCAACGATAGGAAAAGGAAGTATGCGAAAGAATATGAGTAAAACGCGCATGCGCAGTGCCTTTGTTTTCATACGCACATGGCCGATTGTTGAGTGAAACAGATGAACTAGAATTGGTTTGTAAAAATGGTGCAACTTCAGTGATGTGGAACTGGTTTGGTGTTTGTCTGTCAGATACACGACAAAGCACATTTTTTTGCAGAACATGCAAGCGGCCGTCATCTGGGTCCTAAACTCCGTATCCTTCAGTTCAAACGAACACTGCAGCATCACTGAGCGTTAAAAACTGTCTAAATTCTTTCATCTTTAATAAAACGATCAGCATTGCTGCTCTACCAGGTGTAACTATGAAGTTTAACTTCCAGGCATCCATTAAAACAAAATTTATTACATTTAACAGAGTTAGAAGTTAGCAGGAAGCTAGCGGAAGTTAGCTCGCTAGTTTCGCTAGTTACCTAAGCATGATAGTAGTAGTAGTAGTATTTATTTATTGTCATTGTCAAGAACAATGAAATTGCGTTTGGGGCTTCCATACAACCCAAAAAAGAAGAAAATAATAAATACCCCTTAAAACCCAAGTGTACATATTTAACCCAGTGTGACTCCAATGCAATAAGACAATCCTTAGCAATAATGTATATAGCATGTTCTGACTGAGAGATTTCTGAAAAAATTCAAACGTACAGCTCTGCTATCACTTCCAACATAAATGAAGACAGGAAACTAAACAGCAGTGACGTTTGTAGGGTTACTGAAGTTGGGCTAGCTGGTATATAATGATGTGCTACGTAATCGCTAGTGACACAGCTATGTTAGCATAACATAAACAGTGAAGCTGGAGGACGAACACTAACACTTTTCCACTTATAAAAGTTAACGTTAAAGTTCCTGATAGTTAGAGACAAATGCAATCGCATGGCAGGATGCTGTAAACGGACCAAACTTCAGTCAGGAGAACAACTGAGATAATCCATCCACAATACGAGGTTAGTCATTAATATACTGCAACAACGTGGGAATAGAGCAGCTGCCAGAGAATTCAACATTAATGAATCAATGGTACAGAAGTGGAGGAAGCAAGAAGAATGAGTTTAATAAAATTTGATTTATCTGACTGCTTTGTTTCGCTTAATGTGCGTTTTAATCCCGTGCACCTTATGGTCCGAAAAATACTACTGCATACTGCAGTTTAATGTTGCAAAGCACCTCTTTTTAACTTCAGTGGATATTATATATGGTTATGCTCAGGATATGTCAGCCCATTTCTACTGGAAATGCCTTCTGGTTAAACTTTCAGCAAGGAATTTGCATTTGCACTGTTACATTTTTATGAAGCTTTAATGTACATAAAAACCAGCTTCTTATTTAAGTGAAAATAAATGGAAGGTTGTCTTTTTGCGCTAGTAATGTTGTGGAGTTGTATTTTGTCTCGCATCAATTATATCGTCAGTTATATCGTTATCGCAAATTTTCAAATATATATCGTGATAAATATTTTTGGCCATATCGCCCTGCTCTACTAGCTTGCATCATTTGGTGTTGCTTTAAGAACCACATACATGCATTGTGTGTTAAAAATCCAAAATTTGTTTTGGAAATGCTGTGGTATCATTTTTTTTTAAGTGCTATCCAAGTCATATTTATTACACATTATTGCATTAATGCAGCATTTAGAATGACCTTGTTGCACTTTTATTTGGTCAGGAAACCAGAGCAACTACTTAGCTTTTATTGAAAGAAAACAGCCTTGCTTCTGCAATACTGGCTAAATAAAACCCAGTAGATTACTTGATAGGGCTGATGGGGTAGGGGAAGAAGATTGGAAATTTCAGAATTTTTAACTTGGACCTGGGAAGCTAGTCACCTTCAAAAGAAAAACAATGCTTCCTGCATGACACAGCAATTGCATTTTTCTTTTGTGAAGAAACACAAAGATCACACACAATGTTATCTTTTCAGTCCACCAGCACATCAATCAGCGTCCAAGCTTCTGGGGATCGACCTCCTTTTGCTTCAGGATCAATACACTTTCCCGGTCTCTTTGGTACAGCAGAGATTGTCAAAGATACAGGGCAGGAGAGCCCTGCAAAATCCACTACTGTATGTTCTAAAAGGGGTCAGCTATTAAGTCACTGACACTCGCTCTCTCGCACATTATTTCCTTTCCCAACCTTTCTTTATAGGTCTCAGGAGAACTGAGCTGAAAATGTTGCAGTGAGATTGTTTTCTTTTTGTGTGCTAAAAAATGAGGAGAAAAAAAATTAAGCCTACTATCATATATTCCTCATCATCACCACACCACACAGTAACATAAACAGTGTCTCGAGATTTGATGAAGATTAGATTTGAGAAAGGATTATTACAAAGGTGATTATTGAATAGCTGGTCTTCAGTTGGAGTATTGAAGTAAACTCACATCTTTACTCAAAAATAATCAGGGCTTATTGTTATAACAGGTATTAATATAGTTCCGAATAAAAAAGGTTTCGGCGATAAGGCGTGCGATAAGAGAAGACAGAGGAACTGAGAAACACTTTTTAGGTTCAAACTACAACTCCCAGAATCGCTCGGTGTAGCCTCGCGGTTCTGTCTTCCTGTTTGAGTGCCGCAGCTGGAAAAATGGCAGCTGATACAGGGAGATACAGGAGTGCAGTTAGCAAAAACAAAGACCCTTCTGGTCTTCTCATCTCTGTCATTAGGTAAGACATGTTAAGTTTTTTTATATGTGCGGGTAAGACGTCAGAGACACTTGAACTGTGCTTGCATTTGTTCTCAGATATGGCTTGACAGCTACCTTTAATGCTAAGGCTACATTTTAGCTAGCTACATCCTTCCTGTTTTGCTAAATAAATGGAGAGAGTTAAACCTCACCTATTTTATTTGAGTTAGTATATGGGCAAATCTTAATAGCAGTTATTTTGTTTTTTTGCTCAAGCCAAGATTACTTACGACTAAAGTTTATTCACCATTATTTGGAAAGCGACTGTTTTCTTAATAAATATTGACGAGAAATTGAGAAAAAATCGTGGCAAAGCAAGGTGCTGTTTATTGGTAGGCTGGATTTTCTATATGTCTCTTACCATAAGTTGCTAATTGTTGTGAATTGACTTCACAACACTTTCTCTGCAGGTCATAACGAAGGAAAAAACATAAACATGATAAACGAGGCACACATCGCAATCGTCGTTGCAACCACCATTGTTACACATGCAACACACTATTTTATTTATTCATTTTTATCCAATAGCGCCACCGTTTTGTAATACAGGAAACTGTGTTCTTTACTTTATATATAGTTTTAGTCTTGCCTAAAAAAATGTATGAAAAGCACAAACGTAATTGCATATAACAAAATCCATACTCTTACTGATATATCATTAATTTTTCTTTTTTCAACTGTAAGGTGGATTTCAAATACAATTTCCATTTTTGAATTCAGGGATGCTTTTGTCTTCTCTTAAACAACAATGCTTCCCCCAGATTCCCTTTGTGGGTTAAAATATTTCTTCCTTGCCTTTTTGTTTGATGCAGGACTCTATCCAGTAGCGATGATGTGCAGGACAGGGAGACGGAGAAGAGTCGTCTGGAGGAGGCTTTCGAGACGTGTGATCGGGATTTAGACGAGCTGATTGTTCAGCATTATGCCGAACTCACCACTGCCATCAGGACCTACCAGAGCATCACAGAGCGTATCACCAGCTCCCGCAACAAGATCAAACAGGTAAATTGGAGAGGGATGTACACACACATAGACTCGTGTTTTTTTTAGATAGACTTCAGAATGGTGGCACCAAGTTTTGTTATTAACAAAAAAATATTGTTTTCATACATTTTCCTTTATCTCTTTATTCATCAAAACTACTTCTTATGTCAGTATTATCTTTTTTTTAAAACCTTTTTTGAAGTTTCTAAGACTAATATTGCCCACTTAACAGCATCTAGCTCAAGTCAGTATTCTTACAATCAGCAGAATGATGTTAAATGCCTCAGTGCTGCTTTTTCTCAGGCGTAATCTAATGCAACCAAAATGTGTGGATATAGTCCTGTCTTTAAACTACTGAACTTTCATGGTCTACTTGTACCTGCTTAAGTTCTCTCCAGGTGCTGTAGTTTGCTCCTACAGTCCAAAGACACACATATTCAGTTAATTTATGATTCTAAAATGCCCAAAGATGTGAATATGAGCATTACTTGTCTTTTTCTCAGTGGTATGATTTTTCTGCTTAAGTTTGGGAAAAAAAATCGCCATCTGTATTAAAACATCAAAAATTGATGTCAAGCACTTTCAAGAGCATGCCAAAGCAACACGTTCCCATATAAGTCAAACCGTATATTGTTGGCCATTCAAAACTCTAGCTGTGATGGTACAGTGTGATGACAAATTTCCCAAATGATACAGATGCATTTCAACAGCTAGCAGTTCAATATTCAGGCGACAGAAATGTTACAGTAAAATGTCCAGGATAGCCCCACTTTTCAATCACAACTAGTGCATTTCTGCTACATTTCTTTGTAATGCTTAGATTAATTCCCTTGTCCACTTGAAAAGTCCTGAGGTTTCAGTGTAGTCAAGGTGTGGTCCTAGAAGTATGAGTGTGGCAACCCTCTGTAACAGCTTAATGAGCTGGTCCGTATTATTGCTGGTCCATGTCTTTCCCCACTATCATTGCTGTAGCAGTCATTGTGGGGAATCACTCTAGGGAATTAGTGTAGGTATTGTGATTGGGGAAATCACTGTACCGACAGCACAGAAACTCAGTTTCCCCGAACCTCCTGTGGGCAGTAGCTGCCAGTGTGATCAGCTAGTGGAGATTCACCGAGAGTATAATGCAGAGAAAAATAACCTGTAGATTTGTAAAAATTGACATGCACACCAAGAGGACTGTATAATAAATAAATTGAGTTCAATTGTAATTATTTTTGTTTATTATTGCACTTTATTATACCTGTGCTTTGCCATTAAAAGTGTATTTAATGAAATTTTCCTTGTATTCTAATTGCTGTATGGTCCCAGGTTAGCTGCCTAACTGCCTAATTTCAACCTAAAATCCACTGAGTTGATTAGCCACAGTTGAAAACAATTGTGTTGGTGTAAAAGGTGTTTAACTTAATTGTAAATACATTCAGCTCACTTATGTAACAAATTAAAAAATAACTACAGAGAAATAATGACTGTGTTAAGGAAGTGTCTCGCTCATTTTTCTTCTTCAAAGACGCCTACACCTAATAAAAATGTATGTCTGTTGATGAGCGTCTAAGGCAGTATTTAATTTAAACACTGTAAATGGCAGACAAATGCATTGTCTCTCTGTGCTTTCTTTCCCCTTACGCCAGCTTGTTGAAGCAGTAAGCAATCCTCCCTTAACCTGTTTATGCCAGAGATTTCTTCTTGTTAAAAGAAAGTTTTGTTTTTCCATCCCCACTGTCATCAAATGCCTACTTATATGGAGTTTTAGAATATGGCTTGTGTCACTGGACATCTCAATCTGTCCTACAGGTCAAGGAGAACCTCCTGTCTTGTAAGATGCTGCTTCACTGTAAAAGAGACGAGTTGAGGAAGCTGTGGATAGAAGGCATCGAGCACAAGCATGTTCTTCAGTTGCTGGATGAGATCGAAAGCATCAAGCAGGTCCCTCAACGCCTGGAAACTTACATGGCAAGCAAGCACTACCTTCATGCCACAGACATGCTGGTGAGTAGAGTGATGGCTGAAGATGGGATTCGTAGAAGTGTAATCTTGTGCCTTAATATGTGTGAGATATACAGTGTTTAAAAATGGAAAACCCAGAAAGATTGGTGGGAAATATGTCCTTTTTTTAAAACATGTTTGATCTTGCTTGTTTTTTTTTATGGATGGAAAAACGGAGAAATGGAAAAGGGAAGAGATTTTTGTCTTGTTTCTATCGACATATCAAGCAGGGACCCATGGTGTGCACAGTATGCACACATAAACACCAGTATTTATGAAGTGCTGCTGCTGAAGATTGATTTCCTGGCACCTCTCATCTCTTAAAAGAACCTCTTTCTATCCTTGAACAGTCCAGTGGGTGCAACCCACATCAGTTAGGGCGCTGCAGGTGTGTATGTTTGCGTGTACGCATGTCTTTTGATGTATGTTTTGCAGTATGCGCAGCAGGGGAGCTGAAAGATGGCATTGAGGACTAAACGACCAAGCTCTGTGATCTCTCTGTTTCTTACCTTTCTTTCCTTTTTCTCTCTGCCTTCCTCTGTCACCCCCGCACGCCTGCCTCCAGACTTTGGTAATAATTAGTTTGCTAGAATGGGGTTATCTGAGGAGGAGGAAAAAAGAAGAATGATGGTGCACCCATAGGACCATGAAAAATCCTCTTTGTGGGGGTGGAAAGAAGTGGAACTTCATTCAGCCTGTGCTCAGTCAGTACAGCATGTTTCAAAAAGGTTGTGGAAAGTTCACAGTCAGTTGGATGCTTTGCCTCTGTCTCTTCTCTTGTCAAATGTGCTCTACTTGATCAGGATGATGGCATTTTATTTACTTTTACATATCAAAATGGTGTTGGATGTACTCTTACCTTTGGCTCGGTTGACATATTTATGCAGTTCAGGGATGAATTATGTATGAACAGCCCACTTTAAGTAAACGAGACTCTGGCCAAGGACATTACTAAAGTTTATAAAAATGAATTACCTTGAAATAACCTATTTGAATGATTCCACCAAACTTTAAATTAATTTTACATGATTTATTATTGACATGATGAAATAAATGCACCGTGTAAGCTAAAATGAAATTATGTTTTTAGATACTGGACACCTAGATGTCAAACAGCAATCTCAGCACAAGGTGATAGGCCGGCAGACAGCTTATATTTAAGATCAATAGACAATGAGCAAGTCTTACATAAGAACTATCCTGTTATTTCTAACCATCTGACAATCATCTAACTCTTGTCTGTGAATATAATGTTTATCAGTGCTCAACTGTTAAAAAATATTGGTCAAAAAGTTCATGGAGTAGTGATTGAAAACTCAAACCTGAGATAGATTTGGGCATCAAGTTCAACTTTGTGGATTATATAGATTTGCACAACTTCTCAGCGGAAGGCTCGCAAACATGGCTCTGCTGATGCTCAATGGATCCCATCCAGTGTTTTAAAATAGTGTTCCTTCAACTTAATTTTTATTTTTTAGAAGAAGAGAAACTCAAAGGAAAGCAATTCTGTCAACTAAGGAAGCTGTTAAGTGAAGATTGTGTGCAATTCTTTTAGCCATACTCACAAACTGTAGCATGCACTGCAAGTCATGTCTTTAACCCCAGATGTTCTACCTCAGATGCCTGAGGTCCACAACCACTTGAGTGTTGAAAACATGAGCAAGCATGACCCTGGTCATAGATCTGATCTCTGATCTGATCGCTTTTGTACTTAGAAACTACCGTACGTACTCTTGAGATAAAAATTTCTGAAAACTCCTGGGTGGTAGCCAGAAACACATCCCTCTTCCCGAGTAAACTTTTTGAAATTTAGGTGTGGACAGCCAGAGAAGATGGTCTCAAAGGGGGAATAAAAAGGTTTAAATCAGTGTACACTAATTGTTGTGTATTGATCACACCTTGTACTGCACCAGGAGTAGAGTCTGTAGGAATTAACTTAATCTTACCTTATTTTTACCCTCTTTAAAAGGGTGCTCATAATTATACTAATGTGACTCCATCTTTCGCTTAAGTCTCTTCCACATGTCTGAGCCCCTCCCAGGATGTGAAGAGGAGATGCAAGCAAAGTATTGGAGCCTATCTAATGTATTTGATATAAAAAATATTTTGATGAATTATGCACGATATATTAAAAAAAATAAATAGGGGAATTGTCAATTGACTCAAATGCATTGAAATGTAGGGTGTTACCTTGAATATCAGCCTTTTTGAGGCTATATATTTGCTGTTTATGAGATAAGTGGATATGAAGTCACGGTCCTTTAGATTTCTACCATCTTCTCCTCATCTTGATATCACCCCTTTTGTAGCCTACATTAGTGGGATTATATTTGTTTTTGTTAAAGTAATTACTTGTGCATAAAAAAAGCAGAATTATGGTATTTAAATGAGACTCCCTCCCCACAAATATTACAGTTTGTGGTTGTCAAAGTGCCTTCACAGGATATATACATCTGTATACATCTGAGTTTTGTTGTTACTTCTCCAGATGCCTCCTCACGTCTTGTCTTGTTGTGGTACTTGGAAGATCCTGTGTGATGGTGGAGGGGAGATGATTTTTAGGGGATAATTTCTCTGTCTCTCTCACTATTCTACCATAGCTTATTCTCTTCAACATTGTGTGTGCCTGGGTTTTGTTTGAGGCTTATCTCTAAGGGTTGACAATTAGAATTCAGACTATGCTCTGTGTGTACTATTGAATGGCAGCCTTAGATCCCATGGGGTTGGTTAAAAACCAGACTGACTTTGGTTGTAGAAATCCTCTCCTCTCCTCTCCTCTCCTCTCCTCTCCTCTCCTCTCCTCTCCTCTCCTCTCCTCTCCTCTCCTCTCCTCTCCTCTCCTCTCCTCTCCTCTCCTCTCCTCTCCTCTCCTCTCCTCTCCTCTCCTCTCCTCTCCTTTGGCTTCTTAGCAAATTCACAAGAGGCTTCATATTCTTCATTATGGTGACAGGCCTAGCCCCCTAATGTAATGATGTTAACCAGGCTTCCTCTGTCATCCCAGCCCAATGATAATGAGATCCCCACCACCGCTACCCCTATCCCCACCCCTGACTCTCACACAAACACATAAACGTTAAATGATTTACAGTCATACAATTACATACACAGATAATCAGACATTACATTAAGCCAAAGCAGGCTGATCACGCAGTGCATTATCTCATCTTCTCACTAATGTGGCTCTCATTTGCATCAACACATACTTGACCCATGCTCCCTGCCCTGTAGTCTGCTCAGCTCTCCCCATTCCATTCCCTTCTATCCTGCCCTGGCCAATCAAATATTATCGGCAGTGAATTTGGTTGTTGGTTTGCTGCCCCTGAAATGCACTCAGATATGCACATAAAATAGGTTAACACACATGTAGACCAGCATATTTAATCATGAAAACATAACTGTTGTTCATGAGCTATGAGAGCAGGTTGGAAAAAACATGACATTTGCTAAATATAGGTCATGAATCAGGAGCACATGGTGATACTTTATTTACTAATTTATTTATATTTTGGAGGATACAAAAAAAATCATCCTCAATTAAATATATAAATGAAAAGAAATGATTACACTTATTCACCAGCTTCACTATTGCTTCCTCCTTCCGAGGAAGTTTCTCTGAGATTAAGTGTCATTTATTTTAAAGACTTCCTAACCTGACAGGACAATTGGACTGCTATTACAATGATGTTGCCCTCTCAGCAAATCTGGGCAGATGCTTCTTACCAAGGAGCGATGGCCACATTCATTCAATTTCCCAGTAAAAATTTCGGTTGGCAATTTGCCTATAATTTGAGTGTGTAGTTTTGTAGAAACATGAGGGGATACTTAATATAGCTTAGATGCTTCTGTCATTTCTTTCCTGCCCCCACTTTTGACTTGTCTTTTCTGCCACCTTCTTTCAAGTACAAAACATTGATACCAGACACAGCTATCTTTTGGTAGAGGTTGTCTGACTGGTTCTTGGCTGTAATCTGTTATATGTAGGTGACAGCTGTGGAGTCCTTAGAAGGCCCCTTGTTGCAAGTAGAGGGCCTTGGAGACCTGCGCCTGGAGCTCCACACCAAGAAGCTCAACATACACTTGGTGCTCATTGATGAGCTGCACCGCCATCTGTACATCAAGTCCACAAGTCGCCTGGGGCACAAAAACAGGGACAAAAATGCTGCTAGGCTTCCAGGGTAAGGGCCATGTTCTGTTTGAACAGAAATTGGACTGTTTTATTATTGTTAATTCATGAGTGCAAGGCCTTACATTTAGTACAGTTGCTTGACTTGTGGTCAAAAATGTCAGTTTTCATTTCATTTACATGATAAACATTGGTGTTCATATACTTGCTCCAATATAGCTGCCCATGCAGAAGAATGTTACACATATCATTACAGTGTTAGAATGAAACGCTGGAAAATGTCCAAGGCACCAAAAGCCTTTATTACTCGCCTGTTAAGTAGTCAACAGAAATGTAGCCTTTACAGTGTGTTTTTCTAAACTTTTCAAAGTTGAAATCATACTGATGTGCCTTCATTATAAGTTATCCCATTGCTGCTACAACCAAGAACAACTTGCCAATTATTTACTGCATGGAAACCAAGACCATTACAGACAAAAAAACAATTAGACCTCCCTCATATAACTTGTTGCTCTGCTTCATTGTTTGTACAGTGTGCTGGGAAGATCCAAAAGAATGAGAAGCATTGCAAATGTTTATTGTTGGAGCCAAACAGCAGTAATTTACTCGTAACTAATTAGGTGTTCTGCAGTCATTATGGGTACCTCTGTAAGGACATCCGATATATATATATATATATATATATATATATATATATCTCTCTCCCTGGAAACCAAACATATATATATATATATGTTTGGTTTCCAGGGAACAAACCAAGTTTTAAACCTGGGAAACAATGTCCATTGCCAATTACTGAAAGTATCACAACATATACAGTTTCTCTTTGAACACCACTGATCACATGAATGAGATGGTAGGTTTTGCAGCAGCAAGGAGAATAATTTAAGTTCTTCCTTTTGTGACAGCTTATTAGGTATAATGCAAAACAATGGCTTTGAAAACACGGTTGATGCTGTGGTGTTCAATGGTAGGGATTCTGTGTGTGTGTGAGGTGCAATAATTATGGTGGCAGTGGGTTGGTGTGGTACAGTGATTTATTACTGAGGGTCAGCAAGTGACAGGTCCTGGCCTTCCTGTATTAGGTCGCCTCTAACAACAAGCCAGCCTCCATACACCCCACCCACTTAGCAGGCAGACTGTGTTTATACTGTTCGACTTAAAGGACCTGGATTGCTTCCACCTCCGGTTTAAGGCTTGATAAATGACTCATTGGGAAGCAGCACCAATCCCACCCAGAGATGCAAGGCTTTTGGTTTTAGTAGTAGATTGTTTTCATTAGGGAAGAGGAGGTTTAGCATTTGTATTTCTCTTTGCACGTACTAAACTTTTTGTATCTTTGTCACATATTTATGCGAGACCCATTTAATGCCTGGATTTGGTTTTTGGTGTTTTATTTCCTCTTCACAGCTCCATGGCCAAAGATGCATCTCCAATACCTGTGTTAGATGTCGGCAGCCTGTCTACCCCACGCAAGCTTTTGGATTCATCTCAGTTTAGCACACCTGGATCCAGCAGTGGTATGATCTTAAGATCATAATAAGGAAGGGAAGAAGAGGCAGTAACGGAAAAAAAATAAAGGGTGTTGGCTGAAAAGATATATTGAAAACAAAGTCGTAGGTAGAACACGGTTTCATGAAAAACCATAAATCATATGCTTTCCCTCGATTAAAACTGAGCACATTAGAAAAACCAGAGAAAGGAAGACATCAACTGGCAGTTTTATTGGTTTCATCCAAAAACATTGCGTGTGAATTTTATCCTGCTATGCTATTTTCACTATGCTGATATTCTTAGTGATAATGAAGTCATTAGTGTTGCACTGAATTACATCCATTTGCATGTCATTATGGATACGTACACACTGAATGCACACAGAAACCACTGATCCATACTTTGATACAAAAGACTAAACATGTCACAAATGTCTTGTTGCAGAGATACACGGCTCACACCCACATTTCTTCAGCTATGATCACAACATATATCTCTCTCGCTAACATTATAATCATCTTGCTCCCCTACCTGTACCATTAGTCACCCAGTATGTGTGCCTTCACAGCAGGGAGCAGCATTTATTACCCTCAAACTGCTAACCAGCGCCGTAACAGAGACTGATAATGTAGACTGTATTCAGAAATGTATGAATCCTCTCTTGGTTGTAGGGGCGTACAGTCAGAGCCACATTCCTTCCAGGCAGAGCACAGAGGAACGCAAACAAGAAGATAATGAAAAAAGTTAATCCAGCAATAACTTGGTGTTCCCTTGGTGTTTCTGAGTTTTTATATTAAGCCTGGCACTTTTTTTTCTCTCCAACACCCACTCTTGGCATTCTGAGTTAGCAACTCATCGTGTTGTTTTTAGCTCTGTGGATACCAGGCAACAATGCACCATACTGTACATACCAAAGGCATTTTTATCTCGTTGCTGCATCAACTGACAGATTAACAACAACATTAGCATATAATTACCATCTGTGGGCAAGGTTTCCCTGAAAGGTATGGTACAGTCAACATTTCTGTGCCATTCAGCAGTTGTTTTATAAAGTGGTTCTTTCAGTCATTCTCAGTCTTTGTCTCTTCCTCTTCTTTTGCGTGTTTAGCATTTCCTAGGTAGCCATCTACCATTTAAATCATGTCATTTACTCCACCTACTGTTATTTACTCTGCCCAGCTCATCAGCATGCATGTGTATGTCATGACCTCAAAAAACATAAATACGCAAATGTACAAATTACCACTAATACATTTTAAATATCTGCTCAAGTCTCCCACGCTGTAGGCCTCTAAGTAATAGCTAAACCACAGTTTTCTCAATATTATGCAAAGAGAACACTGGCAATTAGCTGCCAGCAGGCAGTAAGTGCCTATATACCGTCATGTTAACAACTGTGGTCACGACACAGCAACGGGCTTCCATCAATGCCCTAGCTTGCCATTTTGTCTAATAGCATTAGAGCACCTCATTTGTAGATGATAATTGTCATAATTATTACACAAACTACAGTTGCAATGGCTGAAAAGAGGAAATACACCCAAAGTCCATTAACTTGCCATAAACATTAACTCTCTTAACGTGCTTTGATGGGGAATTGGGAGGCCCCATCTAATGGAAATTAGAGCATCACTCGATACCGCCTTTCTCAATTTGTCTACTAAGTCAGATGAAAGGGGGATTAGGGTGGGGTTAGGTGCAGTTGTGTGTTCTTAAAAGATAACGAAGTGGTGTAAAACTGAATTTATTTGTTGTTCTTGATTATTTTTGTACATTTATCTATCACTGAAATAATTGGATCTTTTGTGCTTGTACAAATATAATAATGTACACCATATGGTAACAAGTGTGTCTGTATGGGTATACCTCTTATAGTGCATGAACTGCAGCAAGATATTCGGGACTTAAACCAGTCAGACCTTACTGAGGGGGACCCAGAGGAGAACAGTGCTGAGTTCATGGGCATCCTTATCAGGGTACATTCATGTGCACACACATGACGCATGCTATTAATTGTAAACTTAATGTTTTGTTCTGTCATTTGGTTGAAGTAAAAATATTGGCATATTGTTCATTTTCTTTAGGCTCTGGCCAAGTTGAAGAAGCTTCCAGAGACCATTAAAGCCATAATGGAACGGCTGGAACCTGAGCTGAAACAGATTGTCAAGAGGTCTACCACTCAGATAGCAGACCATGCTTACCAAAGGGGAGAAAACCTGGCCCAGGAGAGCCAGCCAAGGTAAAGTAATGGCGTAATGCACTGCTGAAGAATAACTGACGAAAGAGATTTGCTACAGATCAGAAAATATGAAGCTGAAGGTTAATATTAATCCCTTAAACTGCACAAAAATTGCACAATACATTTTCAAGCATTTAAAAAAAGGCATACTTAGCACATACAATAGAAATTAAAAGTCATATATGGAAATTAAAATGTAATGATTAAAAAAAACAATTTTTCAGATGATTTAATAAACTCTATTTTCAGAAAATTCGAATTTTCTGGCAGTTGGATCATATTTCAGACTTTAAAGGGTTAAATAGCAAATGTGGAGGGGAAGGGAGTTTCAGACAGTAGATGGGCATAAAAGGGGAACTATAACCTGTTATGTGGAAAGATGAAAGCAGTCCTTTTGAAATGATAATGTTTGCCTGATAGGGATGGTAAGTAGCATTAGAACTATATGCCAAAATGGTCAGTGTAAATAACAATGTGCAGCTACTGTTGTTTACCTTAAAAAGACTAACAAAGCTCCCACTTGCATTCCCATCATTTATCCCATTGTTTATTCTTCTGTAGTCATAATATTTTTCTAGCCTCAATTTTTAAGGTGTTGAATAAAATGTGGCCTCCCTCCCTAATGATTGGTAAAAGCTATTCCTGTTGATGCGGTAGCTTCAGGGTTTTGTAGCTTGTCTGTTTTTTGTAATGTTACCATTCTCAGAGTTTTGGGAAGCACCCAACATTATATTAATTATACTAATATTCACTGTATTATAGTCAGCATTCACTTTTGTTATTGCATAGAGTGGATCCTTAAGTTATACTTAGAGCTGACAGTAAAGGCAACAGTCAGTGTGTTTAGAATGCAGTCCCATAGTGTTCATAGTCAGACAGTCAACCAGGTGTGAAACATAGTAGCGGCTAGGACTGCAGACACACCTGCTTTAGACCATGAAAACAGATACTCTGCTGCTTTAAACGTAGACAAGTCATGGCTAAACACACCCATACACACACAAACAATTTCACACCTGCCGTAGAGGGCTGCTACATTTTAAAAGCAGTCACGTCAGCTCCTGCAGACATACACATACAGTGAGCAGACTTGAGAAGCACAGGTCTCAGTCCACTGATCCTGAACCATTTAAGAGGAACGTCTTGTTTTCTGTCAGGGATGTTCTTTCCAGCCTTGTCTGCCTTACTTCTTCTGTTGCCTACTGAATCTTGTCTGACCTCAGTGTAATAGGCTACCATGTAGCTTGTTTCCAGTTCTGCTGCTTGCTGATTGTTTTAAGTTGCCTTCATGAGTATACGTGTGTGAGCATTTAACACTTTGAGGTTGTGTGTGTGTGTTTGTATTTGGATGCGTACACACCTAGTTTTCCCTATGCTCACTTCAATTTAAAGTCAATGCTTGTTGCTATGGAAACTCCAACCAATGTACCAATTGTAGAGAACAATGGTCTTGAATATTGCACACTATATTTTATAGTACAGCAGACTAGCAGGCAACACTTAAGAGCTTAATAGCATAAACAGCAGTGTGTGGCTTGCTCTTGGAGGTTTATGTTCTCATTCACATCCTCACTGACCACCTCACTGAAAGTTTATTTTCCTTTACAACTCCTGCATCTAGATAATCTTCATATAGCTTCCGTCTTCATGCACCAAAGTCATGACCCTAATCCAATGATATTTCTTAAGGTTTTAGTGATTCTTGAGCTTCTGGGCTACCTGCAATACTTATGTTTAAAATTACAGCTAGTTAATAGCCAGTGCATGTGTTCGTGGATTGGAGGACGTATGATCTCTGGCTGCTGGTGTATTGTTTGCTGTTATAACCCCAACCAACCAACAACAACCAACCAAACAAACAAACAAAACAAAACAACAAAAAGAATCAAAAACTTCTATTTTTCAAGTCTTTGTTTCAGTGTCTCAAATAACAGTAATAATACAAATTTCTCTTACTGGATGAGAGATAAAAAGACTGCAGGATTTACTGGGCATAACAAATAAACATCAGCTTCTTCCATCATTATTTGCTGATGGGATGATAGTGGTAAATAAGGTGAATACTGATACTGATATTACATAGTAGATTCTAAATGAAATCTGAATAAACAATTAAGAAAACTGATTTAAAGTGAGGATGTTTTTTTCCAATAAAACACAGAATATTAATAACAGTATTTTCAATTCAAACTAAGAAAACAAACAAAACAAAGCAAAACAGGAAAACCACAGTGAACATAGGATGGACTTTTTTTTTGGACTCATTTTTCCCATTTAGTGGTCCTTGCCATCATCTAGAGGAAGACTGATTCCACGTGAATCAACTTTTGCTCTGTGTGTCCATTTGTCTATGACAGCAGGATGACTGAGATAACCTGGTACATTTAATATCTCAAGAGGAGCCTTTTGACACTCTTTAGACCTCTAACAATAATTAAATTATCTGTGACTTAGCACCAACCTGATGGTAATCTAATTTAGATACTATTGTTGTCCTTCCAATATGAAACACATGCAGTCCTGGGGACTTTACGTCTTTGTGTGCTCCCTGCCATTTCTCCTGGTTCTTCATCAGCCGTGTGTGTCAACTTCGATCGGGAGAGGAAATGAGAAGTGTGGTCTCAAAGAACAGACAATATGGATTAGGTTGGACTCCACTGGGAGATAATGAGGAGGACTGTTTACACTTTGTTTGTCCGTCTACACGTAGCTAGGTGTGTTTGTGGGTGTAAGGGCCGGGGTGGTTAGAGTGTGCTTGGGGATTAAACAAAAAAAGCAGTGTCAAAGTCAGAGCCGTAACTTTTGGGTGCCCAACTTTATGCATGTATGCATGATTATGTAGTTTTTTTATGCTTATATTTTTGGAGATTGGTGATCATATATCATTTATCTTACATTTCTGTTTTGTTGTCAGTCTTTCATGTTTATACATGAGAGTCATTGGCATTTCAAGGTCCCTGTCTTTGTGTCACGGAGTTATAGCTCATAGTGATTTGTTCCTCTGTTTCTCTCCATTAATAACATTTGCTTGTGTTACTGTGGGTGTAGTGACAGACAACCAACCAAAATGGTCCCCATTGAAACATGCATCTTGCCTCTCTATTTCCTTTATACCTTCACCGAAAATCTTGGCTGCTTCCCAAAACTCTGAGGATGGTAACATTAGAAAAAACGGACAAGCTACAAAATACTGAAATAAATTGCAATAAAACAAAGTCTCTCTGTTGCTTTCAATTGAATAAAACTTAATTAAATGGCAGAGGAGAGTACCGAAAGACCAACGTTAGACAAATAGTGATTAAATTTAACTTTAACACTGCTACTTCCTAGCTTGGTTGCACTAGGAAGCCATTCACGCTCAACTAATGTAACCTGTGTTCCCTCTTTACCTTGAAAGCTTTGCCCTTGTGTAGAAACTAGATGTAGCAAAGTCTGGATGAAAGCATTAGTGTAGATGAGACCATCCAGGCTGTAGCACTCAGATCAAGTGGAAGGTCAGTTTGGTTTTGGCTGTGCTCTCTTCTTCAGTCAGAGCCATTTAGAAGTAATGAGAGTGCCTGTTCATTTGAGTCCAGGCTGGGAAGCTCACTTTTTTGTTTTGTTTTTTATAGTCCCGGTTAAATGGAAAACTGTAAATGAAAACGGCTTCCTGGAATATTGGTCATTTGAAGTGGTCTCAATGGTCTTTTTCATGGGTAGATTATCTGTTATTAGCTGTATGTTATTTTTCTGCTGTTTTGGACAGTTTAGATGAGCTTTTTTTCACCCTTGATGTTATAAAGCATTTGCATACATTCCTCACAGTAGCTTGTTGTACTTGTACTTGTATTGTTTAATGTCATACTAGAGAAAGATAATTTGAAACCTGGATCATACTATTATCAAACCTTTCACTGTTCCGCAGTAGTTTTAATGGATTTTCTTAATTGTGAAGTTTAAGCAAACATGACAGAGTGGTCTTCACAGGTGGCAATCTGTTTATTTTGACTTTTGGGGATTGTTTGTCAAAGGTAGGAAATAATTCTATAACCTTGACAAGCTGCCTTAGAACACCTGTAGCTCTCTATTTTACTTACATGGAAATCTCAAGTCATGTGATTTACTGCAGAAGACATACATTTTCCTAACAAATAAAGTGCCCAGTTGAAGTAATGCTGGTTGTCTATTTTAGTGCCTGTATAGACAATAAAGATCCTTGTGAAATGCTTATTAAATAAACATTATACTGCAGATTTATTTTTTAATAAAACAATTAAATATACCATTTAATGCTGTTTGAAGTTTTTGTAATTGTACTTCACTTTCTCCTTTCTATCCTCTCCCCGTGTCTCTATTTACTCCTGACTCTCCTGACCCCTTCCCTTCTCTTCCTCTCTTCCTTTCTGCTCTGTCTGGCTCCCTCTGCAGGCTTCTGCTGGAACTGCTTGAGCTCTTGTTCGATAAGTTCAAGGCAGTGGCCCAGGCTCACAGTGTGGTGCTTACCCACCTGAAACACATCGGGGTGCAGGCCCAAGAAGAGGGCATCAAGCTGTACGAGCAAGCAGATGTCTCTGCTAAGATCCAGACTGTACTGCAGGTTAGTTGGCAACAGCAATGATGAAAGAAATGCAGTCGATATCTGACAATGAAGTGTACAAAAACAGATGTAAATAAAATGAAGCTATGCAGAATAATTAGGAATATTTTAGTCATCTGTCTGAGGAGCTTGAATAATATGAAACAGTTTAACTTTACCATGTCTTTATGGCCAGTAGATTAAAATAGATTTGTAATTTATTCTGAGATATATTATCCTTCTACAGTGGCTCTTACATGTACCGTTACAACTTAAAGTATACAACCATTATTGGGCTATTTATCTGTTTAGAAATGGGACCTGTTTGTTTTCTTTTCCCACGCTAACATACCCTCAGGCTTTTATTTTTCATTCAGTGCCACAGTGATTTGTTCACTCTAGATTTATCCCCCCCAACCCCCTTCTTATAGCAATCTTGTAGCACTTTCACTTATAGTAAATTAATCAGTAGAGAAACAGGCAGCAATGTGATGGATGGCATTCAGTCTGTCAGCAAGGAGTAGCTAGAGAAAAATACAGAGGAGGCTTGATTGCTTGGATTAATTTAAGGTTCTTTAATTGGCGTGTAGTTATGCTCGGTTCTTGATCCTTGCTCCTGTCTGATTGGATGAGGGGGGGTGAGCAGCTGTTCAGTTGACCCGATAGTGACTCTCAGAGGAAAATCTGTGACAGTTGGCATGCGTCTGTGTCCCAGTTTGTGTTTATACCTAACAATGGGTAAAAAAACACACCGATGCACCTTGATTGTGTTTCATCCTTGATTGGGTGATTGATATTTATGACATTTTTTCCGACCGATTTTGCAAAAGATAACTACACATGTACTTATCTGCATCTGATATTGTTAGAGTGGATGAGATGCTTCTTCTTTAATATTAATAGGCTGTTCTCATGGATCTATTTAGATGCAGTGTGAATACATATATAAAAAATATGAACACAGCAGGTTTTGTTTTGTTTTTTTTGAGTGGAATCTATAAAAACAGGGAAGAAACTTTCTCCAAGGGTCTACCTGGATGCCTTTAATGTTGCCATTGTAATTGATTGGACATATTACTGCTACTTTCATTACTGATCATACAAATGTAAAAATAAATAAAATGACAGATTGCTAAATTGGAAACCCATCTATTTCTAACTCACGCACTCTTCTGCTTCCAATTACTTTAGTCCTTTTTCCAGCTGGCATGCATAGATGCACAAATGAAGGCATGTTTAGGTGTGTGTATGGGTTTCTAGGGTGTGAAACAGCATAGGCATGCACTATAATTGCTCTGCTCTACCAGCATCATTATATAAGACATTAAACCATTCACTTGCATTCGACCACTGCCAACACCCAGTTGCCAGGGCCTCCACTGTCCCCTGGCTCTGCGATGGGAGATAATGTAATCTCTTGATTAGAATACTCATTATGTGAGATGAGGTTTTCTTATTCAGTCACTCGTGTTATTATTTCCTGACTGATTATATCAATAAAAAGGCCTGTAGTCCATCCCTCCTTCCCCTTGCCATTTCCCTGCATGTTCATTCGTCTTTCTCTATGATCCTGCATTTCCATTTCCCTTCCTCTTTCCTTCAGCTTCATTCCTGTTGCCTCTGTATTACAGTCTCTCAATTTCCCAATACCTTGTGCATACCCCTCTTGCTCTTTGTAATTTCCTCCTTAATCTCATTATCTGGCTTTCTTTTTCTCTCTCGCAACTCCCACACTCACTTTCACCCCCTTCGTTTAGCCCACTCTGTCTTAGAGAGTCACATATCAGCAATGAGAGAAATTAAATTCCTACTGCTCCCATAGTGGCTCTGTTAAATTTTATTAGATACTGAGCCAGTTCTTATCTCACGCCTTAAGACCCACAAAGGGGCAGGAGCCTTCTCAGCACCAGCCAGACTTTAGTTGTGAGCTTTATGTTAGTCACTCATTATGCATTTCACTCGAGTTTGTTTCTCTTTAGTTTTGCATAAATACTTTAACTCTTATTTAATGTTCCATTTAATGTTCCGCTGCAGAATAGGCCACCTAAAAGTAATACTTTCAAATTTTGTGTGCTGACTAGCTCCATATTTTTTATTCTCTAACTCAACTAGAACTGTTTTGAATGATTCACAGCTCAAAATAATTCTTATTTATCACATACTGGGCTGAAACAAGCTGGTTTATTTCACACCTGCTTTCTTGAAGCTAGTAGTTCTCGCACCATAGAGTTGGGCCAAACTGCTGGCATGAGTCCCTGAACGGTTGGACACAGACATGATACCAACTTGAATTAATATAGTTAACTATTTTTAGATGTAAATGAATGGTAGTTTGTTGATCGATTGATAACAATTGTGCACCGTGAATCTTTATCAGGTTTTAAAGTGGGGCTTCCTAAAAAGTACTACTGCAGAACTTTGATGTGATTGACTGCCCCTCAAAAACAAAACAGGAGATGGGAGGGGTCTATGTGCTGTCAGTCACAGCTGTGTGCCTGAGATGCCCATATTAAGGATATCCTCTCTCACTGACATCACACATTACAGTACTAGTACATACACTGGCCTTATTATTTTAAGATTCTGGCCATTTTAATGAGTATCCACAACTGTATAACACAAATTAAGACAGAAGGCTAAAGGGTCCAAATAGGAAGAATCCCCACTAAAAGGTGAGGAAATACTCAGGCATCTTGTTAGTTCAGTATTTGCAAAGGTATCAGTGAAGTAGGAGAGACTTGTTAAAACCCAAACCTTTTACCACTAGCTTTACTAATATGCTTTATCCTTTTGCCCTTAAATTATTTGAATCCCAGCCTGTCTTGTGCCTCTTATTGCAGTTCACATGTTTGATGGGCAGAAACCTCTTGGTGGGTGTTATTTTTTTCCCCTCTTTGAGAGCAACCAGGTTGACCTTTCCACATGACATACCAGTAGACAGATGCAAGAGCTGACAGAAACACACGGTGCACCTAGTTACAAGGCCTTGGCAGAGAGACTCCGTTCATCAGTGTGTGACTGGGGCCCGGTAGGCTTAGAATGGGGAGCGGGTAAACAAGATTTCTAAAGTCAGGATGCATGTAATGGTCCTAATCCATGTTCAGAAAAGCCTGAGATGCTTCTGTTGGTTGTTTATTTCAGTGTGGAAGTATTGATTCAAAGCATGAAAGACTGTATGGTAATCAGTAGTTTTGAGGCTGGAAGGAGTGTTTTAAATGCCACTTTGCAGTTTTTCTAGTGGCTCTCTGTATAATGAGTGCAAGTATATCTATTGATTATTTACGCCGCCACTGAAGTTACATTTCTAAGCACATGTCACCAAATGCCCTTCCTACTCGCTATCTATCCATGACAATTTTTTCCGTCTTTTTTCACCAGAAACGATGCTTTTCTTCAAAGCACTCTGTTTTGTCAAAGAAATAACGCACTGGAATTTTGGTATATCCATACATATTTATCAAGTTTCTCTTTTGACATCGAAAATATACTACGACATCAGACAGTTAAGCAGGCCTGGACTGTTTAATATGATGATGTCTGAATTAAAATTTTAGTCAAAACAACATTTTATATATACCAAAGGAGAAAATCCATCACTTTCATTAGAATTGTGACCTAGATGGAAGCAGCAATACGTTACCGGGTAATTGGATAGCATAGTTCATAAAATCTCACAGTTCATAAACCTTTACGTACATTCTTAATCAAGACTGTCCAGTGAGAATGTTATTAAATCTATATTTAGCAGTCTGGCTAGTGGCGTCCATCATCACCCTTTGACCTCGTCTTCTGTTGGGTTTGAGGCCTAAAAGTTTGTTAATTAGCTTGCCATTTACACATACTACAAGGATTTTTGATTGTGTGACTGCTTGCTGAAACCATTGTCTCCTCTGGTGTGTGACCAGAGTGCAAATAATACTTTTAATGAGTGGTTTCCTCTCTGCACACAAGGATGTTTGAGACTGTATTTGAAAATATGGATGTTCACCATTAGTCTTCCCAAAGAACTGATTCCTAGACTATTGAAACTTCACAAGGGAACACAAGCTATTAATATTTTCTACTAAAGCAAAAGGTAAATTTACTACAAGGGTGGACTGAAGTTTTTTTATGTTGCTCTAAATAATGATTGAAATATTAAAAAAGGAAACTTTAATACGATTGCTTTTTCCTGCCTCATGCTATATTTTCTTAAATCCTCCCTCCCTGTAATACTCTTACTTCTCAGAGTGCTTAGGATATCTTGCTTCCATGAATTTCCTACAGAGTTTTCTACTATTTTCTTTTGTTCTTGTGTTCCTGATTATTTGCCTGGTCATTTAGGGTATTTTGGTTAGGAAGAGAGCCTATAGCTTGATCCATATCTGCTTCATGAATTAATCCTTTTTTGTGCTATTGAATAATAAAAGGGGTTTGTTTTGTTTGTATCAAAAAAAAATATGAACACACAAGTGGCTTAAATATGCATTGTACGAAATCAGCCCATCAACAGAGTGAAAATGAGTAGAAGTGAATTGCCAGAGAGGAGCCAGAAGACAATAAGCTCCTTTAATTAAATATGAAGCAGAGACATCGCTATGTTGTTCTCACCCAACATTTTAATCAATGTGTCACATTTGTTCTGGCCTCCAAAGACTGTAATATTTACATATTGCGGAGTGGAGGGAAGTCTACCATGTCTGTGGACCCCCCTCCCAATAGACGCGCGCACACACACACACACACACACACACACACACACACACATATAATCCAGATACGTAAAAAATCACTGAACATTGACGTATGACATATGTTTTAGCAATAATTGTCTTTAGTTGTTGATGGTTATACGATATGTGTGAATAATCTTTTGAATAAAGGGTGTCTCATATGGAGTTATTACAGTTGTCCACCTCTTCAAGATCAAGATATTTTATGTGTACAGTACACGTACATAGCATACTAATATATGTAGCGAAGTTGCTTTTAGTTTAGTAGAATATAACCAATAAGTCACATATAAGCAGTATGTTTTAACT